GGGGAGGAGGGAGGAGGAGGAGGAGGAGGAGGAGGAGGAGGAGGAGGAGGAGGAGGAGGAGGAGGAGGAGGAGGAGGAGGAGGAGGAGGACGCGGCTGCGCACGTTCGCCCGGCGGATCGGCGGCGCGTCCCTGGGCGAGGCCGTTCCGCTCGAGTGCTGCCAGCAGGCCATACTCTTACGCTGCTCCAGCCTACTTTAGCTTTGATCGCCCGGAAGAATTTCGAGCGCCCAAGAAATCACCACCCACCAAACCACCCCAACCCAACCCGAAGGCCTCAATTTGCCCTCCATTTCCAGTTGGGGGGGGTCGGGGAACATGGAAAAAACACATATGGAATCCGTGCCCCCCCCAACCCGAAATTGGGGTCTTCGGGTTGGGTTGGGGTGGTCTGGTAGGTGTTCAAAAATGTACCGAAATTCTGGGGTTTTCACGTGTCGGGCCCTGGGAGATCGCCCGACACTGCTTCGACACTCTTTTGACACTCTTCCGGGTGCTCGAAAGTATTTCTGGGACGTGGTCCTCAAGTAGGATTGGAACAACATAACCATATTCGTCGCGCCGAGATGGTGTCGGGCGTGTCCCTCTACAGGACGAAAAATCAAAAATACGAAAAACATAGTCCAGGGACGATGTTTTTTTTACTTTTTTGGACCATTTAGGTTTGAGTTTTACGAGTGCTTATTTGTCCTTCAAAATCCGCCTGTAGGGGGACATGCCCGACCTAATGCCTAGAGCAGCTCTCCAGGCCCGGATGGCACCCCATTCTGGGGCCCGGCGGAAGCTGGGGACATTCGCCCGCTCCTTGTACGACGCATTCTGGGCCAGGGTGGGATCTGGGGGAATGGACCTTTTGGCGACGGGTTGAGACGATTTTGACGAAAGCTCCATGGTTGCACCTCCGCAAGAAACCAGCTGGCGCCACTGCTGACGGTATAGGTTTCTACGTTCTACGCGCCTTCTAGCACTCGTTCTCTCAACGTCGCCAGCGCGGACAACGGGGCCATCTCGGGCGCCGCGCGCTTGTGGATCGAACGGGCGGTCGCCCCGGGAATCTTGACTCCCTGCGCGGGTTCTGACAGGGGCGACCCACGTTGGCGAACTTCGCCGATATCGACCAGGCAGTGCTGCATATCTCGGAGCACGAAGGCGCCGCGGCGATGTTTTACGACTTCGAGGCAGCGTCCCCGAGCGCACCGCCAGGACCCTGGCGAAGAGGCGCCGTGCCGCAGCAGCTGGTGCCAGAGGATCGCCCTTAAGGCGCCGAGTTCGACGGCTTCGAAGTCGCCGCGGGGGTGTCCGGCAGGGCTGCCCGCTTTCGCCACTGCTCTTCGCTGGCATCCCCGACGTCTGAGCACGCTGCGTTCCTCCGTCGGTTCCCGACGCCGTCCAGCGGGCCTGCGCGGACGACCTCGCGATGGCCCTCGCCCGCGGCGCCAGGGGCGCCCCTTCGTGCTCCGGTGCGCCTTCCACGAGTGCGAGCGGCTGGCGGCGCTCCGGTTGCGTCGGGGGAAGGCCGCCAGGGCCCCTCTCTCCTCGACGCCCCTGGAGGCGGCCAGGGCGAGCTTGCGCGCGGCAGCGCCGGGATGGGGAAAAGTCGCGGTGCGCCGACACGCCGCGCACTTCTGCGCCGAGGCGGGGCAGCAGCGAGCGGAATTGTCGCGTGCCGAGCCGCTCGACAAGTACAGCTCGCGGGCACGCGCATGGAGAGATCCATGGGCGGCGGCCTGTTCTTCAGCATCCTGGCCTGCCGCGTCTACGTACGCCTCGCTCTTGGCTTCCCGACGCAGCTGGGAACTGGGGCGACCACGAGCAGGAGGGCGCGCGCGTGGCTCTTCCCCGGGCCCCCCTCCCGGACGTCGCCGGCCGCCCTCCAGAACCTTCGCCCCGAGGGTTATGCCCGACGCCGGCGCGGCAGCGCTGGCAGCCAAGCGCCGGTGGCACCGCTGGGGGGCCGACGCCGCCGGCGGCCTGCAGATTTCGCGCCGGCGCCGCGGCTCGCTGGGCAGGGTCGACGAACCGAGCCGGGTCCTGCAATCTGGCACGTGGTCGACGCGGTCACGCGGTGCGCGGGCAGCTGAATCCCGAACCTCCACGCGGCCCGGGGCGACCTCGAGTCCCGCGCCGCGGCGGCGGGCCTGGCACTGGCCCAGCCGGTGCATGGCGGCTCCTCTGAGGCGACGCCTCGGCCGCAGCGACGAGAGCGGTGTCGCGAGCTGCTGGCCTGGCCCAGCCGGGTGCGCACCTCCCGCGAGCCGTCTTGCTGCCTTTTCTCGCTTCGCCCTCCACCGCTTCCCTGGCCGACGCGGGCCGCGCGCGCAGGGCCTGCTGCGCGGCCTATGGCGCCGTCTGCGCCCCCTACAGAGCCCCCAGGGTCTGGGCTGTCCTCCACGGCGCTCTGCGGCAGCTGGCCGACCGCCCGTCGTTTTGCGCGGCGGGCGCCGTGCCCTCTAGGAGGTGCAGGCGGCGAAAACATAGCTTGCTGCGGCTCGCGCAGTGCACCCGCGCAGCGGCATTGGGCCACAAGCATTTGCGTTTACCCCGCCCCGACCAAGCATCAAGGCTCGTGTGCTTCTTCGCTCTGGGACCGGCTTTTTTTCTGGAGGTGCAGCGCAGGAGTTACCCCGTCGCGCCTCGGCAGCGCATTGTGCACGCACTGCCTCTTCCGCCACCCGGCATACAGCGCTACCGCGGACGCAGCAGGTGCGCAGTGGCAGTGCGGTCGCGAGGTTTGCGCGGCCCACCCGTCTTTAGCGGCCGTTCTCTGCACAGCATGGCAAGAATATTTTGCTGATTTGTCGTTGTCTCCCCCTCCTCCCTCCCCTTCTCCTCCCTCCGCCCTCCCCCCTCTTCCTGTGCATGCTGCGTGCGTGTTGTTTCACACTGCCTGTATCTAGTTACACGCTGCGCCCACAGTTCCCTGCGCGCCGCGGGTGGTGCCATGGCCACGCATATACTTATCATATCGTCGTTGCTCTCCTGCTCGTCCTCTTCTCCGCCCAGTCTCACCAATACGATTGCGGGGTGCATTCGTATCGTTATGCGTTCGCTTGGTGACACTACGCTTTGTGAGTCTAAGGTAGTGTTGACCGCTTGTGTTTCTGAGGATACCCGCACGCAGAGGAACTGCATGGACGTGATTTCTATGTTCGGGCTTCGGTTCACAGCATGAGTTTGCCTATTGCAGGTCGGCTTGTGAGGAGTCCCCGAGTTCCTGGGAGATGTTTTGACTTGCGATGCGGCCTTCCAACGCCTCATGCTGTCAGCTTTGAGCCAGCCGCTATTCAGTGACCGCTTACATACGGCATCATTCGTATGAGAGCTCGTCTGCGCCGCTGGGCGCTTCATGCACACGGCGTTCGAAGTAGCCAGCCGGCTTCACGATTGAGTGTTGCATTTGTCTTCGTGTTGATGTGTCCGCTCCCTTTCTTCCCCTCCAACATTGCGCTACAAAAAGACTGTTCGCAGGCGGTCATCCAAAGGGTGGCGGTCGTGTTTTCTCGCGTGCGTCCATCTCTTCCTTACGGTTTCCAAGCATCCACCGCCTGTGTCCGAGGGATGTTCGCAACGTTTCGCGTATCCCCACTGGCCCGTCCAGGAACGATGACCTGGGGAGCTGCCCCTATCGGGGGAGCGTGGCATCATTTGGAGAGCTCGGTGGGCCTCTGTGGGCCAGAGGACTCTTGTATGCCGCTCGGAGTATCTTGGAGTTTCTCTTGGCGGCCTCATGGAGGCCTCTTGAGGCGTCTTTCTTCGGGGCCGCTTGGGGGCCTCTTGGAGATTTATTGGGAGCCTCCTAATGGCCTCGTGGGCGCCTCTTGGGGCCCTCGTCGGGCTGTCGTGGATTGTGTGGGCCGTCTTGGGGCCACCTTGGAGGGTATCGATCAAAAAAGGTGCGGTCTTTGATTCGCATTGCCCCCCCCCCCAGGAGTCAAACATGGCCCCAACATTTATGAAACAAGCAATGAGTTTGGCCCGTCGTTGAGACCATATTGGACGCTCCGACCTCTCGCGCCCACCCCCCCGTCGAGACCGAGGGCAAGGTGGAGAGCGGGAGGCGGAACCCCCTCCCCGAAGGGAAGACGGGGATGATGGAGGAGGAAACGCTCTGACCACCGCAGCCTAGAGGGCTGGTGGGATTTGCAGTATGGCATCTGCCTCAACAGAACTCTCCCCAGACTCCGCAGTGGCCACCCTGCAGCAGACCGTAGCTCAACACAGCGACATCATCATCTAGATGGCTTTGCCTGTATCCGACTGCCCTGGCAGGGAGGGGGGGTGGTTCCAAACCGCAGCGGCTCAGGGATGCGTAACTTGATGAGGCAGTGCAGATACGTACGGAGCCGTGACGTGCGTTGTTTCTTTCTGATTGAGTACGAGGATGACTGAGTGATCCACGGCTCATGGTTGTCAATTGACGGCACGTGGAAGGATATACAGATATCGCTAACGACGTACGTTACATGGATACAGTACGCGCATGCGCGTCGTTATTGTATGACGTCGCCACATTGATGATAAACCAGTCGCGCGCACACGTGTCCCCAACAATGAAAAAAAACAACTGTTGCCATATTCGTGTTGTGTCGCCCTCCGTATGCTTGGCATCGTTACCGTTTGGGCACGCTCGCCACATGTGGCACGCGATGTCCTTTCCGCTGGGTGAGCGTCAGATGCAGCGCGCGCGCGCCCATCTCGCTTGTCCTCCTCCCTCTCCCCCTCCTCGCTCCTCCCTCCAGATTCCCTCCTCTTCCCCTCCGCCCCCACCCCCACATCTCCCTCGCCCACCGCAGCGTGATTATCCGCGAACTCCTGTGATTCAGTCCTCACCATTCGACCTCCTGACGGGGCTAGAACATATGCACCACCACCACCACCTCCCTCGCCCCTTCCTTCGCCCGCGAGAAAGCGGAGAGGAAGAGGAGGGAAGAGAAGGGAGGAGGAATGAAGGTGGTGGTGGTGGCGTCTGTTCTTGGGGCCCGCACTCCTCGTCCGCCGAAGCCGCGACGCCGGCGTGGCGCGGCCCTGCGGGGTGCCGCCCCGGCGGCTCCACATGCACCAGCAGCTGCGGGCGCTCTGGGCGCAGGGTGCTTTGGCCGCCGCGCGGGGGCCCGACGGGGAGCTGGGCGCGCACCTGGCCGCGGAGCGCCCGGGGGATCGGCCGCGGAGAGCCGGGAGAGGGGAGGAAGACCCTGACCTTCCAGGAGGGCTAAAAAATAGCACGCGACCTAAAACCCTATCCCGAGAGTTATTATATGTCTTGGTCTTAGGCTGTTTCGCTCCGCTTTTTAGGTTTTTAGGCCTCCAGTGCTAAAAAATAGCTCTCTGGAAGGTCAGGGGGGGGGAGGGGGGCGTGGAGGAGGGGGAGGGGGGAGGAGGAGGAGGGAGAAAGAGAGGGAGGTGGAGGCCAGGGAGGGGGGGGGGGGCAAGCTAGGTGCGCTCGCGTCATATCTGACGTCCTGACGCCAGCGGACGTGCGTAGCACGTGCGTGTGTGCATTGTCGTGGTGGTGGTGGTGGTGGTGGTGGTGGTGGTGGTGGTGGTGGTGGTGGTGGTGGTGGTGGTGGTGGTGGTGGTGGTGGTGGTGGTGGTGGTGGTGGTGGTGGTGGTGGTGGTGGTGGTGGTGGTGGTGGTGGTGGTGGTGGTGGTGGTGGTGGTGGTGGTGGTGGTGGTGTGGTGGTGGTGGTGGTGGTGGTGGTGGTGGTGGTGGTGGTGGTGGTGGTTGGTGGTGGGGTTGTGGTGGTGGTGGTGGTGGTGGTGGTGGTGGTGGTGGTGGTGCGGTGCGGCGCGGTGGTGGCGGGCGGATGGGCGCGCGAGAAAGAGGCCCGCGCTGGGGCGAGAACGCCATCCTGAACGACGGAGGCCAAGCACCGATCCGAAAATGAGGCCCACGCTGCAGCGGGAGCACGATTCGGAACGATTCGGGAGCAGAAATGAGGCCGGCGCCTCAACGAGAGCAGCACTTTGGGAAAAAATGACGCCGGCGCCTCAGCGAGAGTCGTTTCCCGGGATTTCCTGGGCATCCTGTGTGTAAAAAACAGTACGCGGAGGGTGCGCGGCCATCACCCGGACGCCACCAGGGGAAGGATTCGGGAGCAGAAATGAGGCCGGCGCCTCAACGAGAGCAGCATTTTGGGAAAGAATGACGCCAGCGCGAGAGCAGCATTTTGAAAGAAAATGACGCCGGCGCCTCAGCGAGAGTCGTTTCCCGGGATTTCCCGGGCATCCTGTGTGTAAAAAAACAGTACGCGGAGGGTGCGCGGCCATCACCCGAACGCCATCAGGGGAAGAGGGGGAGTATATTCATATTGAGTAATTGTAGCAGGAGGATATATGAGGAGGTCGGGGAGAAATGGGGGTCCGTAGCCATTTTGGCTCCAGTCCGCAGCGCTTGCTCGGAGGACGAAGGTTTCTGGCGGGGGGGAGTTCTCGCCGCCCCCAACTGCGTACAGTTCTGGGGGCGTCCCTTAGTGCTTTCGCTACACTCCACAACCTCTTTCTCTGGTACTCCTCGCTTCAGGGGTAGTCCGTTTGGTAGCGATGCCCCGTGCTGTCCGCGCAAGAGGTGCGGCTTCAAGACGAACTTCGCCTGGAAGCAGTTCTTCTACAAGTGCGCCCGCGCTCGGCCTCCTGTGCTTGGTTATCATCCTGTCCGTGCCGCTCAGGGAGACTGAGCTCAGGGGCCTCCGCCCGCTCCGCCCACCAGCCGGCCCAAAGACAAATCCAATGTGCTGGAACCCGCGCAGCTGGCCGCCGTCGTTCGGGCCGAACGAGAGGGGGGGGGATTGGGAAAGGGGGGGGTACGAAATCTGCTGCATGCAGCTGGTTTCGGCCCCGCCGCCTGGCCCAGTCCTCGATACATGGGTCCAAGCATGCGCAGGCCACCTTCGGCAGCGTCAAGCGGCAGGTTGTGCAGTCCGCGCAGCAGGTCGCCAAGTTGGAGAACGCCATGCACGCGCAGGCGCTCGGGCGGATTTTGCTCCAGGTTAGGCTCTGCAGCCTGCAGTAGCAGGAGAAGGTCGCGTTTGCTGAAGCCAAGTCGGCTCGGGCAGCCGCCAGTGCAGCCCCAGGCTCAGTGTGTGCGCTCCACGTGTTGGTGCTGCTGCTGTGGAAGTCAGTCCTGACGATCCTGGCTTTGCCCTGCTCATGCAGCTCGAGTCCCTGGATCTGTCCCTCGCGTCGTCGCTACGTTCGCTCGTGGCTATGTGTGATAGTGTGCCGCAGCCAGCTGATGGCGACGACTCCGATGACGACCCGATGAGCGCCGACGACGAAGACGGCGCGCGTGATTGCCCTGAACCACAGCCTGTGCAGCAGCCTGGCCATTCTGTGGAAGCCGCCGCCTGTGCCGTCTCTGGCAGTGGCCCCACAGCAGCCTTTCTTCTTGCCCCAGTTTCTCAGGAGGGGAAAAAACACACAGACACAATTAATCCTCGATTTCCCAGAAAATATGGGAAAATATGGCAAGTGGGGGGGAAGACAAAAACCCGGAAAACATAGGAAAATATGGGGGATCATTTTATTTCTGTGTATTTATTTGTGTGTCCTTGGGCCCCTTTCTTCTTGCCCCAGTTTCCTCGCCTGCCACGTTCGTTCCGTGCGGGGGGGGGACGATGGGTCACGGGCAGGGGGGGGGGGGGGACAGCACCGGCGCGGAGAGCGGCCCCACTGGCTGCCCGCGTCTCCCCTTTCTTTCTTCCAGCGCCTCACCACTGGTGAGCGCTGGGATGCGCGCCTGTCTAACACGTCTCCCTCGGAAGCAGCGTGAGGATATCATCGGTGGGCTCAACGACGCAGCCAGCAAGAACCGTGAGATCACGCCATTCGACGTGCCTGAGGCTGGAGGCCAAGCAGGCTCGAAGGAGCAGTCTCTTGCTTCGCAGGCGTAGGCGGTGGACTGTCGTCGCAGCTGACGCAGGCGGGCAGCTTGGCCGTGATGCTTCCCTGGCCGAAGCGATGCCGTCCGACGATCTTCTGCTGCAGGAGACCTGTTCGCGTTATCCTGCGTCTGCGCCTGGACCCCGCGAAGATGTCAAGCACCTCGCAGCACTCCGCCGTGATGTTGAGGTCGGAAGCCGCCGCCTGCGCCAGGGACGTTTTGCCAGAGCGATCGGGAGCCCTCTGCCTTGGCATCGCTCGGACGTGTGCATTTCTCCTCCGGCGAGGACCATCGAGGAGCATCCTCGATCATTTGGGGGAAAAACCACGCACGAAACCGACAAAAAACACAGGGAATGGACGTCCGAGCGATGGCCAGTTGCAGATGCCCAGCACCTCGTAGCGTTCTGCCGTACAGTCGGGGCCCTGAAGGAGGAACCCTTTTCGTTGGGGAGGGGCTCCGCATTCCTTCAGGGTCTCACAGCTTGCCTCAGGCTTTCCTTATGTTTTCGGCAGGAAGTCGAAGGTTAACTTATGGAAAAAAGGGGCCTCGTTCCTTATTTTAGGGTTCCTTAGGTCAACGCCCCGACTGTAATGCACAGCGTGTGCGCGTGCTGCAGAAAGCCTCGACAGGCAAGCTCGCCAGAGGAGCAGCCTTCCCATGGAGGCGCGCCGCGGACGCGGCCTCGAAGCGGCTCCCGCGCCTGCGGAGCCCCTGGTGCCGAAGAAGACCGGCTGCCACGCGTGTGTGCGCGTGTGTGTGTGTGTGTGTGTGTGTGTGTGTGTGTGTGTGTGTGTGTGTGTGTGTGTGTGTGTGTGTGTGTGTGTGTGTGTGTGTGTGTGTGTGTGTGTGTGTGTGTGTGTGTGTGTGTGTGTGTGTGTGTGTGTGTGTGTGTGTGGTGGTGTGTGTGTGTGTGTGTGTGATGGTGTTGGTGTGTGTG